CGCAACTATAACGACATGTGAATAATCCTGCCCACTCTAAAGCGGTACTGACCTGCAGTGGAAACGCAAACCGTGCCGAGCCGAACCGTGCCGTGCCGTACTGAGCCGTACCGAGCCGAGTCGTACCACACAGTGGAAAAGCGCCATAAGTTCACCTTTACATCTTATTCTGCTTACACTCTCAAATACACACAAGGTTATGTCAAAAACACAAAGTTCGCATAAGCACAGTCGGTTATGTCTGTAAACATAAACAGCTGGGAAAGAAATTGCATGTGTATATTAGATGTGTGTATTCAAGTGACAGCAGTATAATATACAGTACCTACTGCTGTCTATGCTGTTAAGAGAGCTGAGAAACCACAAATTCTCTTCCCTTTTAACGACTGCAGAATGAACAGAGTTATTATTTTTTATGTGAGCAATTTCATACAACAGTCATTACATTCCAGAGCTCAAGTGGTAAGGTGAGATGAGAACTGAAATGACAGGGTCATTTGTGCAGATAAAGCTGAATTTTTCAGTTCTTTCTTTTTTTGCTGTGGATCAGCTTCAGTTTTCATTTTCATTTTAGCAGTAATTTTAAGTTTTTAGTCATTTTAGTCTTTCAACTTAAACCTTAGTTTTCGTTTAAGGCTTTTTTTAATCTAATTATTAAGTTTTTAATCTAGCATTTATATTTATCTAAATTCAGCTTCAATTACCAAAAACTATTTTATACATTCAAATAATCTCACAGTGTTGGCGCACAACATGAGAGCTGAGAGTAAGATGCAGAAACTTGTTGTGTGTACAAACTCGAATATGAAAAAAAACAGAACTAAAAGTTGCCAGCTCAAAGTTGTGTTCTTCTCCAAACACCAGGAGACCAATCAATCAACCATGACAGTAACAGTAACATTTTAAAGTAGTAATAATGTTGTCACCGATACCAACCTGATCTCTCATCTGAGTCAATGAACTCCACTACCACAGAATGGCCATTGTTTGATATGCTGACAGAGGTACAGTTGTTGTAAGACAGCGAGATAGGAGACAGTCTGGCATCAAATACAGCTTCTGCAGGGACTATATCAATAGGTGATTGGCGGTTACCCTCGGCAATGGGATAATCTTTGTACCATTCTGATGGACCTAGAAAAACAATATTAACCAGCTAGACATTAATGAATGTAAATCTTTTTCCAAGTTAATTTTAAGGATACAGACATGTAACTTACTGTATTGTAATTTACTGTATCTAATGTAGTTATCTACATTACATTAGATAGTGTGTGTGTGTGTGTGTGTGTGTGTGTGTGTGTTTAGAGATTAAAAGTAGCTGGAAACTACGTTGAAATGGATGGCTTTCTCAGTTTTATGAAGTAGCTATTTTTTGATTTGTTAAATTTTAGACATTCTGTCAGATAAATAATGCATTTAAGTGTTCGTAAGTTGCATTGTACCATTTTAAACTGAATTAAAATATTTCATAACATATGCTGAGAATATAATTATGCCTTTAGAAAGGTAACACATGGCTGACAGTTTTACAGCCTAATTTAACATTACAAGTCTTATGTGAAGCTGAAAATCAAAACAAAAGATAAAGTGATCAAAATGCATGCTTACCCCTTGAAATGATGATGCCATTATAGCAATTTTTTGGAATTATGGAATTTGTAACTTTAAAAGGAGGTAAATGTATAGTATGTGGACATAAATCTATAATAATGCATAACGTCAACTAAAAGTAAAAAAATAAATAGAGAAAATTATAAAGAAATTGCACACTTTTATTTCCATATATTTTGTTTTCATAAAAAAATGCATATTTACTATTACAGCAAGGAAGTTGAAAACAGCTTTTGGAGTAGGCCAAAACCAGGATTCTTCATGATGAAAGAAAAAAAAAATGAAACAGTTTTTTGGGTGATGCATTTAGACATATTAACACAGTAAAGTCCAGTCTCAGCTAATCACTGTTTAACAATTTTTATGTATTTGAGTTACACACACATTTTGTAGTGCGAGTGTGACCCAACAACATTTCTATGTCTTCCAACGTTTGTCTCAATGAATTGTAGCAGGATGCAAGTCTTGAAATCACATAGGCCTACAGCCTGTTTACGTTGTTTAAGCAGCAGCTATCCCTTTAAAAGATAACTGGGCTAATCTTGCATTAACAATGGACTTGGCACCCAAATATACACTAAATCTAATGACTACATATTAATGAATGATTGAGAACAAGCACACAAACTGACCCTTTGAAGGCTGGCTATAGATCTATTGAGTCTGTTTTAGTGTTTAGTGTTACGGTTTAACTGGTTTCTGTTATTCAAAATCGTCCATTAATAATATTAACTGTAGTGATTATTGATGCTTGTTACTAATTTGGCTGCAACACTCATCAAACGGATCTTGATATTCAAATCAGGTTTCTTCATTTGGTGTGAAGTGATGCATTGCATGATATCTGAATGACATTTTCCTTTACTGGCTAGTCCGTTCACACCAAAAACAGAAAACTAAAATGATTAGTGGCCACACCAACAGACAACAGGGAAAGTATGTTTATTCTAAGTGCGCTGCAGTTACACGTTCTGTGAACATAACCACAATACACGCTATAAAGTCTGTGTAAACTGGATGTTGCGACCAACTTTATGGTGAAATGAAATATTAGAAGAGAACAAAAAAATAGAGGGTAGGGCTTGATTTTAGCACACATTCTCACCATCTCTAGCTCACAACAAACTGACTGTTGCAAAAGCCAACAGAGCCATAGGCCTGTATCAAAGCAGTGTCAGGCCAGCAGTCTCAGACCAGAAGATAGGGTGGAGATTACATCATTATGGTTAGGTTTAGTACTGGTATAGTTGAGGTAAAGTTAGGGCAGTTGGGGCGGGTTATCCTATCTTCAGCTCCACCCTAACTTCTGGTCTCATATTGCTGGCCTGGCTCTGCTGTCCAAAAACCATATGGTGCCATAGTCATCTGACAAACTGATGTCATCAGAGGAATGCCATTCAAGAGGGATTTTTTTTTTTTTTTTCAGATTTTTGATTAAATATTTCTAAATATTATGAAGACAATCAAATCTTTTGGTGGATTAACTTGAAAGGATTAATTATTTACCACAACACTAGTAATGTGTAGCCAACTAACAATTAGGGTCTTTTTTTTTTTGCTTTTTTTTTGCTTTCATGCTAAGTCGGATCGATTTTTTTGATGTCGTTCTCGTTAGTTGTGGTGTGGACCACAACTATAACAATAAATATTTTATCTTAAACCCTATTCATACGGTGACTGTTTCTCACGTAGACGTCTGTAGAAATAAATTTGCATGTAATAAAACTCATGCATTCAGATGACGATTTATTCACGGTGGACGAGTGAGTTTTGGGATCTGATGAACCTGCAAATGCGCTTCTCACAAGGCATATTCAACATTTATGTAAATATTTTATTTAATAATCATAATAATAATAACAATAATTTATAAAAAAAAATAGGCTAATAATTTAGTAATTTGTCTGTGGTTCAAATGGTGTCTATCATGGATTTTATCTCTAAATGATGGATATTAGCAGAAACGTAAACAAGCATAAGGCAAACATTTTACCTAATTGGTCGACTAGAAGGCTAAAATGGATAGTCGTGCAAACCCTAATTTATATAAATCCATATAGGCTTAATACCCTATTTTAAACAGAAGTTGCAAAAATATATATATTTTTTTATTTCTTAACAGCTTCCACTCTGTAGTGGAGCGGTGACGTAGGCTATTATTCTTGAAAACAGTTTCCAGCATTTTAGAAATAAATGTAAATTAAATGACCGTTCAATTAACTTACCGTTGTCCTCCCCATAGCCCCAGTGATGGCCAGTCATTGCTGCCTCTTCTCTGAACAGCGGATTAGATGTTGGAAAGAGCGCAGAAGTGTGCTGTCTGCGAGTGTCTTGAGTGGTGCAGTGGAGAGTTGTGTGTGTGTGGGTGTGTGGATCGAGTCCAATGACAGCGGTAACATGTGAATGAAGAGTGCTGTGATTGATTGACAGATGAGCTGATCCGTTCAGGCCCCGCCTCCTCTGAAGCCGATTGCACTGTCCGCGAGCCGTGTGTTGAGGACTTCTGTCTTGACTTGTGAAATATTTGAATAACTTTGAATTAGTAGCATTTAATTGAACTGTCGACAGCAAATGAATCATTTCATCTGAGATTTGAATAGAAAAACATCGAGGGCGAATTCTAGCCTATTTTAAAGTGAGCATCACTGTGCTCTACTTATAGCTACTTCGAAGGGCAGAGCACTTGACATGAGCACTCGGAAGGGAACACATAATTACCATCGTCATGAGGTTGTGGACATTTAGGGCTAACACTTCATTTTGAGTCTGAATGCTACCTTGATAACAGTCAGAATGCAGAATAATAGCTATTAAAACGTTTGCTTCAAATAGCCTAGCCTTTTAAAAAATATTTAATTCAATTTATTTCACCTTATGTAGGCTATTTAGTGTGGTATTTGGTAAAAACAAGCCAACATGACAATAAGTAGCAAATATCTTCTGTTGGGTTTAAATAACCACTGCAGGAACGGAACTAACTGTTGTGTAGCATGATCAGTGTCAATCTAAACTCTTGGGCAAACCACACTTTTATTATTAGATCAATATCACTTCGACTTCAAGACTTCAAACACTTAACAATATTTATTGAATAACTGATGTTTTATAGTTTTTGATAACCTTCATTGTTGGATGCTGAAAAAGGAACAAAATGAGAGAAAGAGCAGTCATAATTATCATTATTGTGGTAAAACATGTCTGATGAATAGACATTATGGATAGTAATTTATGAAAATTTGCATTTAAAATAACATTTGACTATTATAAATTATTATTATAATATAACTAATTAATTATTTTGTAATCTAGTTATATTTTTAAAGTTAATTAAAAATAAAATGTGTTGTGTTTTTATATAGGTTTCTGTGGTGCATATGCTCTATAGGTTTACATGAATCAAAAGAAATTGCACTAACAGACAATTACCACACAAATTACTCTACTTGTGAATCATTAACTTAACATGAGTACCACATTGTCTGAAAAAAAAAAAACCCTCATAGCTACATGATCATTTCGTGGTTCAGGGTGAATGCCTGCCCATTCTAATGTCTGATGTCTGCTGAGAACCCGTGGCGCTGTTTAAAAATTAAGATGCCTGACACCAAACCTGTACAATGTGGGGCAAATGATCCTGAACGAATGGGTTAAAATAACAAATAAACAGTGTGCATAATTCTAATATTTTCATTCATCCATTCTTCACTGTAGGGATGCGGGAAGGCTGGAGCCTATCCCAACATATTTATATTTGTAATATAGTATGTAAATTACAAAACCCGGACCAATACATATTATATTTTTATTTACTCTGTCTTGTCTGTGTGTGTGTGTGTGTGTGTGTGTGTGTGTGTGTGTGTGTGAACGTTTAAAGTTACAAAAAGGTATTTTAAGTACAACTACAACTACCCGCAACTGAAACCTAGTGACATGGGACTGATGATTACATCAAGATATTTTTTTTTCCACATTCAAATAACAGATTCTAGAGAGAGATGAGGACATATGTCAAAATCGTAAGTTAGCGCATGTGAAAACAGCTGTGACAGCAATAAAACATTTAACACCAGCAAAAAGTTCACTATGATGAGACATTTACACTTTGCTCTAACAGCATGCTCATGTTACTTCAAAACAATGACTTGAATATGATGCAATAAAAATAATGTGTTTGAGTCAGAGCTGCTGTCTGGGAGGCTTACCTCAACTCCTCCATAACTGTAATTTCCAAAATTATTAACACCAAAATAGCTACTTAAAACCTAGGCAGCTTTTAGTTTTAGAACCAATGAAAAGTTCACTTCATATGCCATGTCAGAGATACAGTTGTCAAAACAAGAATAGCAATGCAATGCAACAAGAAATATTATAAATAGGAAACAACAGAACAGGTTGGACAGTATGTACTGTTGCAACATATGTTTAAGCGTAATGATTTATTTATGACAACACTATACATTTGATGTTTATCCAAAGCAACTTGCATTCCATTGAAGGTAAACAAGTTCATGCATTTACTGTGGGAACTATAGTGAGACACTCAAGAAAAAAACAACAACAACACTGACAACTGAATATTGCTCTTTGATAATTATAATTAATAAATAATGCTGGATCAATGCCAGCCTTTTCAGTGGCTTTTTGTTTCTTGAAGGCCACTGAGGAGGTGAACATCCTCAGGTAGGAAGCTGTCACGATAAAGTAAAGTTAGCTCATTTGACGACTTGAAGTGAAGAAAAGATACCCAGGGGAGACCTTTTCTCTTTATTTGTGGCTCTCAGGGTGAAAAATATAGAAACTCTTTTGTCATTTTTGAGCGAGATGCTAACGGTCTAATCAGATTCAATGATCTATGCTAAGCTACAGCTAAAAGTGCTACCGCCAGACCCGGAGATCGGCTGAATGGATTTGAAAACGGTAAAACTCAACTGTTTAACTCTAGGGGAGTTGGAAAATGAGCCTATTTTCAAAAATAGTGGAGTGTTCCTTTAAGGATTACAAAGGGGGTTACATCTGATTTTTTTTCACACACACTCCCACATACAGATTTAATTGATTTCTTTCATAAATTGCATTGAGTGCTCTAAAATATGAAACACCAATGTTTCAGGAGTTTATAACATGCTTATTTGATAACTCTTTTATTTCTTATATGGGCTTATGTATATGCTTTATTTTTTTTAAAGATTAACTGTTTTTTTTTTTTTAACAAAGCCATTGTTAGATTCCAGTGTTTCCTGTCATAGCTATGCAAATATTTGATTTCAAAAACAGTATCATAGCTATTAAACTATTTTTTGGATTTTAAATCTGTATTTAACCTCAGAATGATCTTAAAGTAAGTCTGATTTTGTGGTGGCTATGCTTCAAAGGGGTCATCGGATGCCCATTTTCCACAAGTTGGTATGATTCTTTAGGGTCTTCTTGAAATGGTCTCAGTAGGGCCTTTCGCACCGCAGGAACCTTTTCATAGTATCAGAACTAATTGTGGAACTACCCACTTTTTGGCGTTTTTCGCACCGCCGGAACTGGGTGCGATTTTAGTACTTTCCGTTCTTTCAATCGCTTTACGTATACGTCGACTTTCCATGTCCATTATTGTGAAACCCGCGAGACACAACAAAAACACAGCTCCGATCACAGCGTCCTCCATCCTCCTGTTATTAATGTTGTTCTTCTTTGTTTCTGTTGTTGAACACCGTGCACAAATGACGTCGCTGTCGACCGGCTTACGTCACTTCTTCTGTACATTTAGTTCTAGAACTAAAGTGGTGCGAAAGGCCCTAGTGGTCGTGTAAAACAACACCCTTTTTACCTTGTCAAAAACAGCTCTGTTCACAGCGACTCGTTTCGGTGCAGATCTCTTTACATGCTAATGAGCTCTGCTCACCCCGCCACTCTCTTCCGTGGAAGAGCAAAGGCGATTCGCAAATAATCATAAAAAAAATATAAAGCGTGAGACTTACTTCTTCTGGAGGTGCAGCTGGATCACGAACAATGGGTACTGATCCATCCTTGAGTTTTAACTTTTTAACAAAACCTGCCTTGAATTGTCCCTCATTCAGGAAGCAGTCTGGAGTAAAATTATTTGCGCAGACAAACGAATTTAGGTGTATTTAGTGGCGCATTACCATTAAAAACAAAACTAATGCACTGCGTCCTCAGTTGCTCTGATGTTGGGAGAAAATTAAGATTCTTATGTTCTTCTACATCACAAAACTACAAAACACCTGCATTGCAAGACATTGTCGCTACAGCTAATATTGGACAGTACATCAGCGGTTGTGGGTCAGAAAGCAGTCTGGAGTAAAATGATTTGTGCAGACATAAACGAATTTAGGTGTATTCGTAGGCGCATTACCATCAAAATCAAAAGCTAATCCACTGCGTCCTCAGTGGCTCTGATGTCTGGAGAAAATTAGGACTCTTATTCTTCTGCATCTAACAACAAAACACCTGCATTGCATACAAAACATTGTTGTCGCTACAGCTGCTCGAGCACGGATTATGACTGACTTCATACAACTGGCTGAGGCCGGAAATATATTAATACTAAGGACAGTATGTCAGCCGTCGTGGGAGGGACCTGAGCAATATGACATCATATTGCTCAGAAAATCAAAATGGCCTGATAACTGTTTAGGTTTTGGGGGGATTAAAAAAAAAAGGAGTGAATGGATTTTTATCGTTGTAGGGTGGTTGTGTCCACACACTGCTAAGACACATTTATATGCAAATGAAGATATTTTGCATCCAGTGTCTCCTTTAAAATTAAAATATTATAATCTTAATTCAAGTGATGAAGGCTTTCGAAAGTCTGACAGAAATCAGTGTTCAGTAGCTACTAATGTTAACCCTGCCTGGTTTACATGCTTGAAAACGATTAACAGTTGAAAACATTAGAAATTTAGAAAAGTAATCGAAAAGTAATCATATGTAATCAGTTACATTACTTTAATAAAGTAATTGAGAAGTTACACTACTTATTACATTTTAAGTAGGGAAACTTGTAATATGTAACCTATTACATTTTCAAAGTAGCCTAATCTTCTCAACACTGGAAACCAGACTGTGATTTGTTTGTTTGTTTGTTTGTTTTGTGATAAACTGTCTATTGTGTGGAAAGATGTGGTGCTGATAGCGTCAGCATTTATTTATGTAAACTGAGCCACATTTTGACACAGATGACTGTGAAAAAGTGAGTCGTTCATCAACGTTTCAAATCTAATCCTCATTTTGTAACCCAGTGTTACTCTGAATAAACCTCTGTTGTCCTTTTCACGTAGTAGCCTTATTAACAAATCAAATTCTTGTGAAGAAAAAATTATTATGTTAAAAGTCCCCAAGATGGACAAATATCAAATGAGCCACGGCATATTATTCAAGGGCGCAATGACT